GTTTGGGAAGGCTGCAGGCAGCAAAAGCACTGCAGGTCCTGTCGCCTCACTGCAGCCCTCTCCTCCCAGGAAGTGAGTAATTCACACTCATGTTCAGGGACACCCTGGTTTCCCTTGTCACCACCAGGGTGCTAACACCTAATGCATCTCGATTAGGACAGCTGTTTAGGCAGCTTTTAAAGTCAGTGGGCAGGATGCCCTTAAAACACCTCCATTCACCATCTGTAAGGACAAACTCTCCCCACACTGAGACAAGACTATCTTTTAGAGGCATCTCCCTGCACTACAACTAGGAGGGAAGCACAGATGGCTACAAAATCACTGGTTTAAAACAATCAATTAGGAGAGTGTAAGTTATAGTTCAGTATCTGGCTTCTAGAACGAATCTGACCACCACTGCATAGCTCACCTGACTTTTGTCAGGGGCTAACATTTGAGAATTACAGCTGTGTTTTGATGAGCCATGCATGTCAGCTTTAATATAAATTAATGTATTAATGTAAGGACCTTAGAGAGCTTTGAACACTCTCACCCTAAAAATGGCAACATTAAAATATGTGATTTTTTTTACAGGCACAAGGCTGTAGCTGGGTGGGAGATTTAATGCCTGGAGAATGCACGTCAAAGACTTTCCTTCTGTAAGCTTTAATTGGCACTTCTGATGTTATTTGAGGGGAAAATTCATTCTTACAGCAAAAAAATGCAGAGATGCTGAGTATTTCTGAAGAAAATACATATGGTCAAAATCATTCAGCAGCTTGGTTTCCAAAGGATGGGAGGCCAATATCTGCACTGTCCCTGCACTTCAAAAGTCAGTTACTCCAACCTATTCTGAAAAGGTGTCAAGGAGAGACATTAGGAGAATGAAGCTCTTGAAAGCTCTGTGGAAATCAGTGGCTGGGAAAGAGGTCCAAATAATTCCTCTCAGGGGGAAAAGACGGGCAGAAAGATGCTCCTTCTCTGGCCCAATGGAGATAATGTCAATCAACACAGGAACATGGAGAAAGATGCTTGATCTGCAGGGGATGTAAGACATTCATAGGAAACAGGACTTCGTTAGTTCCGCCTGTCAGAGCACTCATTTTAAATAGAACTCTTTTCTCAGGATTTGCTGTTTTGTAACTAAAATTCAATTTCTACTGGGATATTCTTTCTGCAACAAAAGTGTTTTAGAAGATTACACATGACTACCCCTAAAAACCAGCAGTTTTTGAGCTGGAAGAGGGAGCACAGCCATACCCACATTAAAATGTAGCCTGCACAGCTGATCTGATATGAAACACTGACCACCAGTTAAGAAAAGGTATTTTATACTGCATTTTACAAAAGCAAAAAAGTGACCACAAACGTGCATGGTTTTGATCTCCATCAGCACATGGAAACACATTTCAAATCCTTTCCTTATGCTCTGATATGCTTGATAATGTATTTTTGACTCATGAACAGTTATAAAAACCACAGAACTACTAAAACTGCTTCTCTTACAAATGAATACAGTTTTCCTCCTTTTTGTGACATTTCAGAACAAGACAGTGTGGTGCTTTTTCAATAAAAATACCAAAATAAGGGTCATTAAAAGGCATTTAATTTATCTGTCACTACAGACCACTGGAATTTGTCATCATTTATTGCTGTCAACTGAAAAAATTGTAGAGATTTATAACAACATTCCATGGTGCTTTACAAACATATGCTACCATCACAGGTAATTTTACAGTGATTCTATTATGTATCCTATGTTTCAACGTAATAAAATCAACACTGAAATACATACTTTCCAAACAAGGCAATATATAGCAAATATTTTCTTTCACTGTAAATTGAAACTTCATATATTTATGGTGCAATTCCTTCAAACAATAAAGGTTTCATAATTTTAATAATATACCAAATGCATCTATACCAAGTAGCAGAAACAAGTTTAAAAGAGAAAACCTACTGCAGAAACATAACATACAGATTTTTAGTAAAGAAAACGAAACACAGCAGCAAGCATCCTGCAGTAATGCAAGAATTTGCTTATACACACAGAACAGTTTTCCTTTTGCCTCCCAGAAAGTTAACAGAAAATCTTAGGATACAATCCCTGCTGCTCTTCACTGTTTATACTAACAAAAAGAGCTACAAAAATATTTGGTCAGTATTTATAACAAAACCATATCTATAGCTGATCTAATAGCTAATACCCCTAGCCATTTTCTTACCCTAATGCTAAGTTCCAGTGTATTTCTAATAGTAATTATCTGGGAAGAGTAGGAAGACAGCTCCAAAAAAGTGCTGAAGTGCTGCTTTCTAACTGCAGGCACTGCAAGAAAACAAAGAGAAATGATTGTTTATACCCTACAATATCATTGTATCATTTGCTACATTCAATCCCTCATCACTTTTGACAGGTACCACAAGCAATTTTGCAGCACCATAGGATTTTGTGCTTAACTGTTACTAGAGTCCAGGGCTCCTCTTTTTGGTAAATGCCAAATTGCCAGACAACATAAGAGGGCCCCCTGGCATTCACTCTTTGGCTCTTACACATTATCTTGCTTATATGTTCAGTTTCCTATGTCTTACTGACACATTCCATAAACAAGTTAAGCAAATACTTGGTTACTGGCACCAGCCATGTAAAAAAAGGCTTGAAGTTGCTCAAGACTGAAGTGGTCTCTATTTCCCATGCACCAATTCCTTTTCAGCTATTTATAACATGGGCTAACAACAGCCTTTTTATTTTAGGAAAAATTTCTTCAACGAAAGGGCTGTCAAGCTTAAAACAGACTGCCCAGGGAAGTGATTGAGTCACCATTCCTGGAGGTATTTAGAAGAATGTGTAGAAGTGGCACTTGGGAATATGATTTAGTGGCAGAGTTGGCAGTGCTGGGTTAATGGTTGGACTTGATGATCTCAGAGGTCTATGTCAACTTCAATTATTCTGTGATTCCCTTTTTTGAAGGAAAGCAAAATCCCTGCCTTTATGAGACACTGTCTTATTGGTACAGATGCTAGTGCTCTCAGAATTATCTTCCAAATCCAGGTACTTCATGGATATTGGCAGGGAGTGTCTAGGACCTGCCTGAGCTCTGACAGGAAGGACTGCCTGCCTGTGGCTCTGACAGCAGCAGTCATCACCTGCATGAAAGAAGACAAACAGGGGCCTGGACATTACTTTGGTCAGCCCTTAATCACAGAGCTGAGCGAGACCAAAGATAAGCAACTGAAATGTAAGGAAAATGACGGAAAAGTGAGACTAGTTCCTCGTATGCTAAATCAAAACAGTGTAATTCTGCATCCAGGGAGGAATGCACCTGCAGTCAACACTGAGGAAAGCAATTAGATTTGAAAATCAGGAATGCCAAGAAGTGCAACTAGATAAACATTCACGGAGTGTGTGCTGGGAAGGGTAAAACCTGGTATGAGAAGATAATGAAGTAATGCAACAATCCTTGGAGAAGATTTAGAATTAAAAAATAAATAACTGCAGTATTTTACCACCTCTTCGCAAATTAAGATGTTAAGCCTATTAATAATGATGCAGAAAAGGCAGAAGTTTCCAATTAAAATTTCCACTTCCTATTTGAAAAGGTGGTGTATTGTGTGAGAAAGTATTTTCCAACACACCAGCAACTGAAAAGGCAAAACATTACTAGAAATAATTAACAAACAGCATATATTAAAGACAGCTGACCCAGCCTATCTTTAGGTAACTGAAAATGTCAAGAGATTTTGGAAAGATCTGTCACTCTACAGAAGAAAAATTAGAATGAATTGGATATAAATACAAAACAATTTTCCAATATCCAAGCCATGCTACAGAACTTAAAGGTTCAAAATTTAATTACCACTAATTAACACCTTTTATGAGAAACAGGTTTTTGTTAATCTCATTTCACTTGTCAGTGAGGTATTTGGTTGATAAACCTATAACTGAACAGGTTCAGTATTTTTGTTTCAGTATTTCCTCATCACAAACATCCAAACTCACAACTAGAGCAAGACTAAGACTGTCTCTAACACACACACTGGATACACTGTCAGATTTCAACAAGGAGCTCCCCCACTGGCTGCCAGTCAGGTGAGTTTTAGGGGAGGCTGCTCAGATTTTTGACAAGACCAACACACTTTAATGCTCTAGTTAAACCATGCAAAGGCAAGGGTGGGCAAAGCCCACACAGAGCCAGAGTAATGCAAACCCCACTGTTCTCTGATTCTGTGACTAGAGAAGATCCATTTGTTCAGGCTATCAAAAAGAACTTGCACAGAAATAGAGCACACATTCACACATTTTGATAATGACAACTTACTCTCATTAGTAGATACCCACACACGTGTAAGATTTGCACTTTATTCTCTCTACTCTACTACAATACTTATGACTAGAGAAGCTCTTGAATGAAGAGCTGAGCTCAGTCTGACTGAAAGGTATTTAGTTTGATGCCAGATAACTTAGTTTTAAGACCTACAATATTAGATCACCTAAAGGAATTTGCCCCCTTTGACCATAAGGTTTCAGACAGTAATGATGCATTTTTTTTCCAAGCAGCATTTAGCCCATGTAGAAAAGGGCACCTCCACTTACAAAAGAAAAGAGAATGCAAACAGCATGAAGAAGACAGGTGATAAAGAACAGTGTTGCAGAATTGCAAATAGAGCACCTCCACACTACTTGCAATCAAGAGCTGACCATCTCCAAAATTAAGTCTCCATTTCCATTGTGCTACTTACAGTCCTCAGTCAAGACTGTCCCTTTCCTACAAAAAGGAAGAAACACCCAACCCACTGCAACGGGGACAGAGGGAAGGTCCTTGAGTAAAGGAGCTTTTAGCAGGGAACCACTGTGTGAAAACAGTAACCTACTGATCTTCTCAGAGCTGGTTCTACTTTTGATGAATGGTGTCCAGGTTTGTGAAATGCGAAGTTCTTTGAACACTTTTACAACATCACATAAATCTTTACATTGATGAAGAAATACAAGCCCTTATGCATCTCAATAAGCTCTTCACTACCAATTTCACACCACTAGACTTGCATTTATACTTGCACAGTGTAAATAGTACTAAAGATCAGGCAGACATTGAGCCACTAATAGCTCCATAATCTGAGCTGCAGCACTGTGTTTAATTACATTGCATTATTCAGAAAATCCATCACATGACAGAATGCGGTGGCATGACAGAAACGATAAGCTCCATGACAAACCCAGGTGAGATTTTTTCTGTACATTGTGTTTTTCAACCATAAATATTTTATTAGCAATACAGACATTTAAATATTAGAAATCTATACAACGTCCTTTTCTCTCCCAGTCTCCAAAACGTGTAGGTTCAGGGCCTCTAGGTCCACCCCTCTCTTTTGTAGTAGGATTGATTCCATCAGGGAATTCTAAAACAACAGGGAAAGTTCATTAAAATTTCTATAATGTTGACAAATATAAAGATGCTATCATTTATTATGTTCTCCTTTTAGTTTAATTTTCAAAGACAAAATCAATTCTTTTTTTTGTTCTGAAAGGCAACCTTGAGTTAAACATTTCCCAGAGTCCTACAAAATTAATTTCAGTTTTTATGACTGCAATATATATGATCATATTCACTTATGCAAATAAAGAAGCAACTAAATGTCCAGAGCCATTAAAGTACCACAGCTTCTCAAGTCAGAACTTGCATCATTCAGGTACTATGTACTTATATTCACTAAATCTAAAACCCCAGATTACTTGCTGTTTACGTCTCTAATTTTAAGCACTCTGTTTCAATTTTAGCTTGAATTGTAGTCAAGATTCTGTTAGTCTTGTATTTAAAACATCCAGGTTGGTTGGGTGCCTAACCTTGAACACTTCCAGGAATGGGGCACCCACAAGTTCCCTGGGCAGCCTGTTCTAATGCTTCACCACCCTCAGAGTAAAGAGTTTCTTCCTAACATCTAATCCAAACCTGCCTTACTTCAGTTTAGAACCATTTCCTCTTGTCCTGTCACTATCTGATTGTAGGAAAACTCCTTCCCTGTATTTTATAAACCCCCTTAAGGTACTGAACTGCCTTTAGACATCAGAAGGCCACAATTAGATCTTCCCAAAGCCTTCTCTTCTTCAGGCTGAACAGCCCCAACTTTCTCAGCCTGTCCTGGCAGGAGAGATGCTCTAGCCCTATGATCATCTTTGTGTCCCTCCTCTGGACCCATTCAAACAGGTTCATGCCTTTTTTGTGCTGAAGACTCCACAGCTGGATGCAGCACTCCAGGTAGGGTCTCATGAGGAGGAGGGGGAGAATCACCTCCCTTGACCTGCTGTGCTGGCCACACTGCTTTTGATGCAGTCCAGGATTTGGTTTTCTGGGCTGCAATCACACACTGCTGGCTCATGTCCAGCTTTTCATCCAACTCTCTATCCTGCTGCAAAAGAGAAGCACACTGCCAGCTCATGTTACTTTCTTAAACACCACAGAGCTTTCTGTGCCTCACCCAACATTCTTACGCTACTCAGTGCACCTTTACTCAGGGCCATCTCCTAAAAACAGTTAACTCAGGCCATCAAGCCACAAAGTACTTGTGGCACAGCACCATCCTAGGCTGAGTCTCATCTTGCACTAGACTGTGGGGTTCCCAGAAACTCACAGTACCCCACGTGCCCTGTGCCACACTGATTCTCCAGAGCTTCCCATATATACACCTAACTTGGGAGCCCCTCAGTCATATCCCTAACTAAGCCCAATTAGGCAGATGGGCAACACAAGTAATGAGGTGCAGAGTTGAAAACGAAATTCTGGACAGCAGACAAAAATAAAAGTGATGGAGGAAACTCATACAGCTACAGGCTATACAGGATGACATACTGGGATGTCTGCTTCATAACTGATGCAGACCAGGAAAAGAAACATCAGTATCTGCGCACCTCTGGAAGTTCCAGGGGTACAAATGGACCTGATATTATTTTGTACACGTCATCCCAATATCAAAGCATTGCTGATGGATGCAGATGCAGATGGTCAAAATATTTCTCCATGATAGCTACAGAGCAGTGGGAACTCTAAATCCAGTTTCAACTCTTAGTTTTTTCGTAATAATACAACAGGCAGTTTGCAAACTATTGCTGGTGTTACACGTAAAAAATACAGGAGCAACTAAAGAGACCTTGAGTCTTGCTCCAAACCTGGACTACCCAAGCAAATAACAAAATATATTGATTATGCATGTTTTAAATGAAGCAGCGATGGCACTGATTTTCCTGCGAATTAAAAAAAAAAAAAAAAAAAAATTAAACAGCTGCTTGTACAGTAACTCCAACTGTGAATTAGTTCTCAAGTGAGCCACAATCTGAAATTGCGTGGAGATGATTCTATAATACAAGAATAATGTAACAACACAATGACAAACTTGCGGAGAAATTTGTGAAAGAAGGAGAAGCAGAAGGAACTTTTCACCATGATGCAGCTTTCCCAATGGCTGTGGTGGCCTCAGGGTAATATGCCCTGGAGTTGGAGACCTTTTTTTAGCTCTGCTGCACAAAAATTGCCACTTTATCATGTATAAAAAGAGGGGACTTCTGTGGAAGAACATCTGAGGATTTTGGTTATGAAATTAGGGATTCTAAGGTGGAAGAATAAATCAGTTTCTTAAATGAATGTAAGGAATTATTTGTCTTTATGCTGCTATCATTCAACTCTGGTGGCCTTATGGAATTAAATAAAGGACACATCCTCATGGACTGAACTATGCATGGCACTGGCTTGCTTGGATGTTGAATATGGAGCCTCTGACAGATGAGACAGCTAAACTACTTTTTAATTTTCTGGAGGTGAGTGGCAATGCTCTCGTGAGACAGTATCACATCCAGGTCTGGAAAATTACTTTATCCGAGTTTACCCAAGACTACATCCCAAGAATTGAAGAAATTACCAGCACTGCACAAAAGGGCATGTTAACGTGTTTGAGGGATTTCATCAAGTACAGTTTACAGACGAAGGAAACTGTGCTTCTAATGGGCACTCTGCTGCCTTCCTTTTGGAGACTATAGATCTGTATTTCCTTTCCCCAGGATATTAGTACTTTCAGACCTGGCTTCCTGTTAACATGGTAAGGCAGAATATACTCTATAAAAAATGAGAAGAAAATATTTTAACTTGTTAACGCTGAATTCATGAAGATGTTGGACAGAAGAAATTTGTGTTGCATTTGCTGCAAATAGTTAAAAGTTATTCTTTGCATTGCCTCTTTGAAAGTTCTTGTATCATAAATATTTGTTTAAAAAAAAATAAAAGCCCTAAGCCCCACCCAGAGTACTGTGTTCAGTTGTGGAGTTCCCAACACAAAAAAGAGGTGGACCTTTTGGAACGAGTCCACAGAAGGCCATTAAGACAATCACAGGACTGGTGCATCTCTTCTATTAGGGCAGACTGAGAGAAGACTGAGAGAATTGAGGTTCGTCAGCCTGCAGAAGAGAAGGCTCTTGGGAGACCTTTTAGAAATCTTCCAGTACCTGAAGAGGGCCTGTAGAAAACCTGCAGAGGTACTTTTAACAAGGGCACATAGTGACAGGACAAGGGAGAAAGGCTGTAAAATAAAAGAGGGTAGGTTTAGATTAGTTATTAGGGAGAAATTCTTTACTGTGAGAATGGTGAGGCACTGGAACAAGTTGTTCAGAGAGGCTGTAGATGCCCTGTCCCTGGAAATGGTCAAGGCCAAGCTGTACTGGGCTTTGAGCAGCCTGTTCTAGTGGGAGGTATCCCTGTCCATGGCAGGAGTGCTGGAACTTGATGATCTTGAAGGGCCTTCCCAACCAAAACTACTCAATGATTCCATGATTTTTCAGTCATTTTGTCATCTGGATATTTACAGACCTCGAAGTAGATAAACATGTGTTATTGCTACTGATGAACTGTAGCAGAACATCACACTGTGGTGAGTTATACAAAGCATGACTATGGCTTTTAGTTAAGTAAAGATGGCTAATTAAAAAGAAGAAAGAAAGAGATTCTGTCTTTCTCCCATTGACAAGAAACCACTTATCTTCCTTTTTAGTTTAGCAGTGATATATCTGTGCCTCAGTCTTCTCATGCAGGCCCACTGAGGTCACCAGAACATAACAAGTTTGTTAGGTCTGCTCAGGAAACTCAGTATCAATTGTTTCTTTTCAAAACACTGCCTGCAAGACTAAGAAATGCAGCTAAAAAGGAAGCCTACAAAATGCAGCATGAATCAGAAATGTTTTTTGGACTAAGAAATAAAACAGGACTTCTGAAAAATATAAACTAGCTGGTGCCCTGGTGAGTTTACTGGCACCATTTACAGCTGTACTACTACAGACCAATACCAGCTATATTTCTCTGAATCATGCAGTGCTTTGTGGTGGTGGAAGGCACCTTTGGCAAGCACTTGGCTCCAGCCCTGCTAAAGGCAGGGTTGGTACTAAACCAGGACATCCAGCCAAATTTGGTTATCTTCAAGAGCAGAGGAAGCACAGGTTCTCCCTGTGACTTGCTACAATGTTTGACCACATTTGTTCTGAAGTTTCTTCTCCCCTGGTGCACCACTTGCTGCAATTTGTGCCCACTGCCCTGCCTCTCTGGCTTTTTTTTTCAGAACCAGTAAACTTAGAAAATTATTCTAAAGAGTGCTGAATGCCTGTCACCTTCTTAAACTGACATCAGCACAGCATCTTGCAGTCTTGCCTTTAAAACGCAGCTTCCAATTTTGTAAAACCTTACTTACTTTCCAAGGGTTCCTTCTCCATACTGGACTCTTCTGGTTCATCAAACCGACCTACTGGTAACTTTGGTTTCTTTAGTGGCTGCTTAGCAGGTTCAGATCTTCCTCCTGGCTTAGCGCTGGAGCTGCTCCGCAAGTGGCAAAGAAGTAATGACTCTATCAAACAAATGGACACGTGTAGCGTGAATGGGGAAGTTTAGCACAATAACACTGTAACTGTCCAGAGCACCTCTGAGAAAAACCTACTTCAGGGATGAGGGAGAGGAAGGCAGGGAAACAAACTCTAAACATGATTAAACATTCAATTCATGAGCACCTAAATCAGCACAGATAATTATTTTTGGCCCTAGAAACATATGTAGGCAAAATTGTGTTAGTTGTATAACTCAGGTCATATAAACAGTGTATTTTAAACTGCTTGAACTTATCTTTGCTGTTACTTTCTTGTACTTTAGACTTAAACAGTAATTATGCTAGCATAGACCAGTACAGTCTGTTTTCTGGGAGAAATCCTAACCTCCTCCAAGAAACCTGCTGATTTCCATGTCTTGGCTCATTTCCAGCAGCTTTTTAGTCAGAAAAGGCTTCTGCTTTCCCAAAGGAAAGTTTAAAAAAATATAACCTTCCCTTAGTAACAGGTTTCCCAGAATGTCGGCACAGGATAGCTGGGTTTCCCTTAGGATGGTAATATAATTCAATTGGTAGTCAAAAGCAGGAAAAACTTTTGAGCATGTTTAAGTTCAATTATGTAACTGTATGCAAATGCTTTCATTAAAAGTATTAACCTTTTTTTTCTTTAAAGTCCCACTAACATTTTGGTTAAAAAAGCCAAATGTCCACAGTGAGCATAAACTACCCACTAAAAATATTTTGGCGGTAGACAGGTGCCTAAAGCAGTTCTGACATTTCTAAGAAGCAAGATTCAAACAGATATCTACCAGCTGGGTGCAAAGTACATGAAAGAACTATTATTCTACTTTCCTGAGGAGACTGAATCAGGAAACCTTCTCAAGCACTGTCAATCTGACTCACCCTAATATACACCAACTAACAACTCACTTGAATTCCCAGAATCAGCATATTCATTCATTTTAAAGTACCACATCTGTAATATCAAACCCTACAGCCACATAAACTGTATTATGTCTGCCAACTGCTGCCAATGCCTCAAAGGAGTATGTTTGTTTTGGTTTTTTTTGCTTTAAGTATGATGTAACAAACTATCTACAGTAAAGGATCTGATCTGTTCCAAACATTGGGTCTTTCTACTCCTGCCAAGCTTCTTGTTATTCTTCAGTAAGCTGGCAAAAAAGCTAGCTAGAAAATTAAATTATAACTGGTATTCTAGTCCAAATTCAAATAAAAACCAGATTAAGGTGCTAGTACGAAATTAATTATCTCGGTCACCAGAGAAGAGGAAAAATCCATTTCCCTTGATAGATTTACTTGACCAAAATACACTCTTCTTGACAGAGGTGAAAAAAGTTCAGCCTTAAATATCTCTGAAAAAGATGAGATGAACTATCAACATTACTAAACCACATTCTACAAACTGATCTTTGATTCCCTCCTCTTTTACATGGTGTCACAAAGTCATCTCATTTATTAATTAAATAACTGAACTTGAAGTTGAAAGTTGCTGCACTTCAGTATTCCACCTTTTGAAGCGGCCCACAGTCTCCTACCAAAGGCATCCATGCAGTGGGAGCGGGGCACACCTCGGGATGCTCAGGTGATAAGAGCCACATCTTGCCATGAACCTGACAGCCAACTAGAGCACAATAATTTTTTTAGCAGCTCTTCCATTAACATACAGCATACTGGTTTGTTTTAGAAGTATTTTATCAATAACATCACAGAACCTCAGTTTTTGACAGAGAGGGAAGCACCCAACAAACAGCCCAAGCTGAGGCCTGTGGGACAGGCTCTGTTATACAATCTGCGTTACTTCTCTATAAACAAACCACCTGAATTTCCTCAGGTGAAGGGCACGGACCAGTAACTTCCAGCTCCACAGCACGTTTCCTCCAGCTATTCTCCAAACATTAAACCACTGTTTAACATTTTACTGCCATTAAGAAGTATGAAGCAATAACAGGGCAAGAAAACCTTCGTAATAACAGATTTGCCCGAGAGCAGCAGGTTTGCAATACAGGGGGGAATATTAATGCCGAATTGGAGGCAGGGGGGGAGAGAGGGAGGGAAGGGGAGAGGAAAGGAGCAGGGAAACTGTAGGGACATGGAAGGTGTGAGGAAAGCTGTGAAATCCCACGGCCCCGGGGCTGAGCCGGCGGGGCGCGTCACACTCCTCACCCGCCGCCATCTTGGGCGCTCTCCAGCCCCCCCAGCCCCGAGCGGCGCCCGCCCCGTGCCCTCGCTCGTCAGTTCCTGCGGGAGGAAGGGCAGGGGAGCCGGGGAGCCCCTCCGCGGCACGGCCCGGACCCTCTCGCCCTCCGCCCGCCTCTTACTCGCTGCCCCGGGCGCGCCGCGCAGCAGCCGCAGAGCCATGGCCGGGTCGGAGCCGTGCGGGGCGGCCGGCACCGCCGCGCAGGCGCCCAAGGCGGCGGATCCAGGCGGGGGGGAGCGACCGCGGCCCGATCGGGGCTGCCGCAGCGGCCTCGCAGTGCCCCCGTGCTGCTCCTCGGCTCCGGTAAACAGGGGCGAGCGGCGCCTGGGGAGCCACGGTCCCGATGAAGGCAGCTACGGGCTCATAGAGGTGATCGAGAAATATGCTGTAACTCTTCTCTCCACCCCATGGCAAACCGGGAGCAAAGACGTCTTCTTTCTTCGGTGCCGTGAAGAGTTTAGCGCTACAAGCCCCTCAATGTGTAGTGCAGGCTAGCTCGGGGTTTTTTTGTTTGGGTTTTTTTTTTGTTGTTGTTGTTTTTGTTGTTTGTTTGTTTTTGTTAAATAATAAAAGATAGTATATTGTTCAAATAATACACAAAGAGTGCCTAGGACATGAAGGAGCTTTGGCTAACACCACAGTGTTATGTAGACAGTGTTTGTGCTTTCAGACGGCATTGTTCCAGTCTCCGAGTTTAGCCGGTGAAGTTGCTTTTAAAGCTCCGTATAAACCTAACCCTGGGATAAGTAACACCCGTGTTCATGGAGTGGTTAATTAGTTAATTAACTAATGTTTTGAATATGGCAACTTTTGCTTTTTGCCACTCTTTAAACTTCTCCAGCTAACCTTGTTCTCAGATCAAACAGAATTCTGTACACAGATACCTGAAGAAGATAACTTGGAGATCTGAATCTAAAAGAACATTTTTTGTTCACATCCGAAAGCTTTAAGAAAGTAAATCTCGGTAAATTAAAGAGCAGCAGCACTTCCTGGAGTTTATTGGAGCTACATCTGGCAATGCCTACACGCTGAAAGTAATTAAATTTAACTGACTGCTTTACGAGTGACATTTTCTCAATCAGCCTTTTATAACACGGTTAATTAGACATTAGAGGCTGAAAATAATGGAAACCCTTTCCTTTATTTTAACAGCAAGATGCTGGGCCTCTAGATCAAAGAGAATAAAGATGAATGCAGAAAAAGATGCTCTGCCCAAAAGCAGCAAGAAAAAAACCTAAACAGATCTCGTCAAAGTTCCAGAACTTATATTTTATGTGTTCAGTACAATAAAAACATGAAATCCTTCCCTTAAACGTACCAAGCTGCCTGCAGACACCAAGTAATAGTAAGCTCTGCTTCTAAAGTGCTTAACACAATCCATGAAAAATCATACTTGTATGCGTACATCCTATGTACAAGCATACATGTCGAATTTCAAATGGTAAGAATGAAATAGCAGTGAAAGATTAATGAGGCACTGTTTATCCACCTAAAAATTAACTGTCTTCAAAACATTTCTTGTCTTTATTTATTGTATTGCTGTAAAAATTCACTTGTAACTCTTGAATTATTTCTAGATCTTTTGACTAAGAAGGTAATAAATCTTACCATTGGTAAAAACAAATGTAGCTTACACCGCAGGAATTTTCTACTTTGTGATTAAATGGAGTACTTTCTTTTCTTGTTTTCCTTCCTTTGTTTACTGATCATTTATCTCTTGCACTGCAGCTTGCTTTGCAAGATGACACAAACAATATTGTACTTAGCTTGCTCTTCTAAAAAGTGGGGAATAAAAGACTTGCAGCTATCACAAAGCTTGCAGCAGGTCAGTTCAGATAAGCCAAATGTACTGGTCTTGGGGACTACCTGGAAAGCACCACACCCAGCACTGCCCTGGGCAGCACGTGTACTGATATTGCCTAAATGCCCCCTCTGCCTCTGAGACCACGTCAAGAACCTTGGTTATCTGAACACCACACCTGGTCAGGGCTAGGCAAATAAAACCAGCTTGGAAACAAGGTTGTTTCATGGTTACAGAGTAAGTTTTCCATCAATGTCAAATCTCTCTGCTCTGCTGCAAATCCTGGTGATTTCCAGTATAACATGAATTCTTTTTCCAAAGTAGTAGCAATACCTAGATTGACAAGAACAGAAAGTTTAGTTTGTATCAAGGATTCAAACACAATGCAAGGAATTAATTTATATACACAACATGGAAACAGAGGTTCAGACACTATGTCATCTTATGCAGTGATCTCCTAATAATATCACTGAGAACTTTTTGAAATAACAGTACCCAGCCTACTGCCTTCAGGGAACAAGACACTGACAGTTAAAGGAATGTTAAGACCTCCGTTTTTAACCTCTCATTCTGTAAGCAGCATAATCCTCTTTGAAGCAGCTGCAGGCTACCTGCTTGAAGGAGAGGTCACTATCACTAAAGGAAGTTGAAGCCCTCATTCAAACAGAAGAGTGGTGACATCAGATGACACTGACTTATGTATCCACAAGTCTGTATTTAGGTCTAGGAAAGAGAAGGCAGAAAACTGCAGGAGAAGGGGGAACATGCCATGCAACACATGCCCAGTTATCCAAAATATCCCAGCCTGCATGTGTTGTTCAGAGAGCAACTGCAAGTGACCATACAGTGTGTAAGTCAACATGAACCTCCTACGCTTCAAGGACATGTCGGGGTCATTTCACTTCTCACTACTGTCAGACAGCACATTCCTTTGGGACTTTGGCATGTTAAACAGTTAAAAGCTACAGTACTGGGAGGGCTACCAGACTACATATGCAGTAGGCAATAAAAATTAAGGGAGAATGAATTTAATGTTCTCTTAATTTGCCCTGTTTCTTGATATATTTAGATGCAAATATCAGATGATTTCCTGCACTATTTTCCTCAAAGAAAAAACCTAATTCAAGCTGCGTTAAGTAGATGGGATCTAGTGTTAACCACCGCCCCAAAAAAAGAAAAAAAAGGAAGAAAAAAAAGAAGTGGCTGTCATGATACTTCTGCTTTTCTGATCACAAAAGCATGCTTTACACATTCAGATTTCCAGACACAGAAAGCAAGACAGACATTTTTCAGTAGTGACAGAACTAAATACTTGTTTACTAAGAATAGTTTCAAGTCTTTTGTGAATCAAGGAATATTTTGTAACTTTAGCTCCCTCAAACAGCTATTCAAAGTTTAGTCAGTAGCCAAATTCAATAATACTGTTAAATAAAAGACAGTTGAGATACCAGAACATAATTTAAACATTTAGAGCTTAATAGCAACATCAAAATACAAATTTAAGAATAAAATAGGCATTGTTATAGTGAGTATGTATTAAAGATACTTTTGTGTCATAAGGACTTGCCTAACACAACTCTGATAAAATACTCCGCAGTGTATATGTTGCTGAACTATAGATACTCATTTGAGCACCTTGAAAGTTATAGGGAACCCTCCACCCCCACATATTACAAAGACTATTATACAACATTCCATATCAAATGCAAAAATCACTTCATTATAAATTATTATTGCTATATTAACTTCAAAAGTACAAAATTATTAATTATATACAAAAAGCCTCCCCAGAATTTTGGTAATTAGCAGAACATTTCAGTTTCTTTAATTGCTTTCATTAGAGTAATTTCTTAATTTTATTAACACCAAATGCAATAACACAATGCTAAAAATAAACATGCATTATACAACAAATTTATATTTTTCAAAAAATGGTCATTACAATTAGTGTACAATTAGTGAATGCACATGTAACTCTTTCCCCCCACCTTTAGTGAATTATTTTTTGAAACAGAGAAAAGGGAAGGAAGAAGAAACCAAACAATGCAATTCAGCACCAGTAGAAAGTCAGACCTTTAACATTTCTGTATATCAAAAACATTTTATCTGTGTCACTGAACAGGTAAAGTTTACAATATTGTCTCATTTGAAGATGTATTGATTTATATTTACAATACTTTATAGTCAATAAAACATTTTAACAATATTTAAAAATTGTTTAAATTCATAAAAGTATTGCAGAAATTTATAACATTTACTTATTTTAAGTATATACAAGGAAGTCCACATAAAATTGTCCATGTTCATCTGACGAACTGACAGAGTGAGGAACCATCTTAATGCAGTTTGCAAAACCCCAATTATTTGAAGGCAGCTATCATTGAACATTCAAAAATCCTTAGTTGCTATTTGCTTCTGAAAACAAGTTCCAGTAATAAAATCTGAGTATGTAAACTAATATGTTTTTGAGATCAGCAGAAAATATATTCCCACAGGTATAACATACTTAACAATGACAGTAATGATTTTGTAGAAAACTACTAAGCTGTAGCAGATATAGTAATTTTCAAATATCCAGTATTTTAGCAGCTCGTTGTGTTTCCAGTTAAACTTCCTACAGTGCTAAAATACAACAAGTCAACACGTAAGACATTGTTAGAATTTTAAAATCCAATTTATTTTTGGCATCTAGAGCCTCTTGTAAAATGTAGCCAAGTAACATCGACTTCTGTTGTCTGAAAGCCAATAACCAACCAAACAAAAGTACACACTGTGCTTTAATCTCCAAATAATCAGGTACCCAAAATTAAGAAAAATAGAAAAGTAAAAAGAACAAAATAAAAAAATATTGCACAGTCACATTACCTAGAAAGTAAAGTTGATGTTAAAAAGCCCTAAGTGTGGATGATATAAATTATCTTCCATATAAAAAGTATAAATATCTCTTAAAATACAGCTGCAGCCATACTTTAACACCACACATTATCTGAATTCATCTGTTAATGAGGTAATAACCAAGTCTCTGACAATGCTTTTCTTTACTGAAAATATTTTAGGGCAGCAACAAGAAAGAATTTTTCTAAAAATATTTCTGAATCAAGAACAGCAATGTGTGCAGCTCTCCCTATGAGAGAATCTGCTGTATTGGGCAATGCATTAATTACGTTATAACGAACCAAATTACATTCCTTATTTTGAAGAACTGGCAGAAGCAGGTTCTGGATCATTTCAGCATAAATTGGTCCTGTAGAGGAAAAGAAAAGTTGTGAATTGCCAGAAACAAACACAATTCTTTGACCTTGAACTTGAACACATTCTAGAGTAAGAGAAGTAATGAAATGTGTTATGCTGTGATTCCGTTAAGATAGAACATACAGA